TGCTGAACCAAACCAAACTCTTACTAATAGGGGTGGCTGACGGGAAATAAATGAGCCTTGTGTTCTGTCTTGTTTGCCCACCCCACACCGGGCACCAACTCTCACCTTCACAGGTCCGGCACTTATGGAGCTCAAAGGGAAAGATGATGTCATCCGCATTCTGACAGAACTCACAGATGAAGCCCTTGGCTTGGCAGAGCTGGAGAGGAAAGACACAGGCAGCAAAATGAGGCAAAGCACACCACAGGAACTGGCCAAGAGGGTGAACACAAGCGAGGGGAGGAGCAAAATATCATTAAGTCTTGAGGGACTCGAACGTGTTCTCCCACCTTCAGGAAAGAGACCCAGGCTGGACTTAGCATGATAGCCAAACTGGGGCCAGGGCTGGGCAGTGTTGCCGGGCAGTGTTAGACAAAGCTTTAAGGTGAAGACAAGAGAGGCATGAGTTTGAGAAACTCCAGCCATGAGAGTGGTTCTCAAAGAAGAGATGAAAAGAAGGGAGGAACGATGCCACAAAGGGCTTCCTAAAGTCAAAATTCCAGCCTGGGTAATGACTTTATTTTGAAATAGGAAACACAACCAATTAAGGTAAAATGTAAAGGCAAGTACAGTTCTCCAAAATAACACGCAGCCTTGAGTCAGGTTACAGTGAAGTCTTTCCAATGCCCCCTGCTACATGGGACTTCTACATATGCCCCATTTTAAGCTCTAATTCTGGGACTGTTACAGGAACACAAACTGGACATATTCTAAGACGGGAAATTCTAAATATGGAATTTATGCATTTCTGGTATGTTGGATACATCAAGAACAATGATAACTTGCATCTACAGAATACTTAAGTTTACACAATGCTTTCACATAAATTATTTCATCAATCCTCAAAAATACTGAGAGGAAAGGACAGTGGGTATTAATCATTATCTTCATTTTAGAGACAAGAAAATTGAGGCTTACCTCAGAGAGGGCAAAGTATTTCCTCTGATCACAGTGATTGAAAATGATAAAGCCAAGACCCAGTCCCTCTCCAGAATCTAATCCAGGGTCCTCCTCTCACATCATGATAATTCTTTAGTGAAGGCCTGCTTAGTCCTGCCCGTTTCCCAGGAGAAATGCCAGCACCAAATCATCTTCTAATTCTAGGTTCCTTAGAGCTGGATGATTTAGCTGTTCACCAACCCAGGAAAGAGCAATCCTGTACAGTTTTTCTCACAGTGTTGACAAGCCAATTCAACTTCCTGGAACTAAATGCCAAGAACCCTGGATGCACGCTACTCTCGGTGTCCCTAAGCAAGGGCCCAGCAGCATGCTAAAGTGAGAGTTTCTTACCATGCATCGCTCTACGTGGGCAGCCCCCGCCCTGGTGAGGTCAGCGAGCCGGGGCCCCAGCTCTCCCTTCCTGGCTGCAGTCAGGTCATTCAGCGAGTACAGGTGGAGATCCTCTGTCAGGTGGCCTGGAACTGTGTCAAAGGAGTCCAAAAGCCTGCAGGAAATGAGGGGAAGTGGGCGGGAGCAGAGAACGAACACTTTGTGTGGCACATCAGGGCAGAAGGATTTCTATCCAGAAGGAGGATAGGGAAGAAAAGCATCCTAGGCAGAGTAATTAGGGTGGGTAACATTCAGCCAGCCCAGGCCACCTCAACCCTCCATACCACCAGGTGTCTGGAGGGCAGAAGTGACTTTTAGGTCCTTCTGTAGTGATGCGTGTCAGCCTGCAAAGAGTGGTGGGCCTGCCCTGGGTAGAATAACCAGATCTCCCCTTCCAGAGAGAGGGACACAGACATAGTTACTGCTGTAGGCTTCTCATTTACCATTTCTGGAATTTTCTGCAAGATCCCCCTACTCTCCTGCTTCACATAACAAGGGCCAAATGCTGGGACATGTTTCTTTCAGAGACATTAGCTCAGCCAGAGGCCTCTGGCCTCCACACAAGACTTACTCTTTGGCCAGTCGGCATGTCTTGAACATGTTCTTCATGTGACATAGCTGGACCCGCAGCAGCTGAAGAGAACGGCATTGTGGTGGTAGGTGGGGAGTCAGAGGGGTGTAAAGAGGAGAGAAACCACCGTTAGAAAGGCCAGTACCTTTAAACCCTGCGCGTCTAGAGGCTTTGCACGAGGCAGCCAGAGCCAGAGTGTTCTCTATACCTGTAACTCAACAACTCACTTCAGAGGCACCCCCAGTCAGGGAAGGGCCCTCTGCTAGGTCAGTCCGCCCAAATCACATACACAGCTGGGAGCTGCTGAGAAATCCAGAATCTGAGCTTCCAACCCGACACCCCATTCTCTGTTCAGTAGTATTTTCAGGGAAGGGAGAAATCCTGCTTTTGCCATTAAGTGTTATCTATAGCTTTCAGGCTGCCTTGCCAGGTTCGAGACCCTAACTCGACAGATGCTGTCTTAATGCTTCTTAATGCTCGAAAATGGCATTAAGAAGTACATAGAGAAAGTGAGAATGATGAGATGGTCACAGCTCTGCCACAGCGACAAAGAGGAGTGGGTGATATTGGGCAACCTCTATGAACAGAGGGTAATCTACGACATGACCTTTTCAGGGGTCTTACCCGGGCTTGATTGAGCAGCTTGACCTTCCTATAGAGGGCACTGTTGACATCCTGCACATTGAAGAGAGGATCGTTCCAGATCTTAATGAGCAGGTCCTTGGAGAAATTGCTGACGTAGTACTTGCTGAAGTCCCACTTGCGCAGAACTCGGCTGGGGATAACCATCTGGGCATTCTCGTGGCAGCACTGGCAGAAGTACTTGCCCAGGTACTCGCAGTACCGCAGCCGCTTGATGTAATCTGAAAAAAACGGAAAGTCAAAAGGTCAGAGGTGGCTTTCCCATCTATAAGCTGGTGAGGCAGCCCTGCTGTTCCTTTTGAAAGAGGAGGAAGGGATGGCCAGTGGGCTCCAGCCACCTCTGTTTGAGCTCCCAAAGCTGCCAGAAACCGACATAGTGGGGCCTGTGGTTTCTGTGTCCTAGCCTGGAGGCCGCTGAGGAAACAAGTGCTGCCAGAGTTGGTAAGATGCAGCCTCCAAGAACCTGGCTGAGGGTACACAATGTTCTCCAGTACACAATCCTGGTAATGGGCTCCTAGAAATCATTTCCCTCTGATTACCAGTACTGTTGCCTAGGAGTACCCCTTTCCGTCCTCCAGGCCTCTTCTTTCCCTTTCCCCAGTTCTGCTCTGTCACCTCCTCTTACTACTTCTCTGATCAGCTCCCTCGTCCAGGTGTGTGACAGGGTAAAGCTCTTGGAGGCAGCAGGGGGGTCAGAGAAGACGCTCACCAGGGTCACTCCGGATGCCACATCCTGCACAGCGGTAATTCTGCTTGGCCACAGCGATTTTCCTCCTGAGGAAACGGGAAGGAGAGGGGATTGGCAGATACCAGCTGCATGAGGTCTCTGAGATGTAAAGGATGGGGATAAAAATACAGGACTCCCACAAGGATGGGAAGAGAGGGGAATTCACCTATTTTTTTAGAGTTGGACAAAATGAAGATATTGGGAGAACCAATTTAAACCAAGGATTGTAAGGTTAGAATTTAGGTCTAGGCAGTGACTCTCCCCAGTAATGAATCACACTTTCTGTACAAATGTAAGAGATGAGAAATAGTAAAGAGGAGAGCACAAAAGGAAAGAAAAGCATCCATCCATCTTGAGGAAAAAAAAAAAAAGCTCATAAAACTACTGGGAGGAAAGCAACAGGTTGGGAGGCCAGTGATAAAAGACCTCATTTCTGGGGCTTCCCTGGTGGCGCAGTGGTTGAGAGTCCACCTGCCGATGCGGGGGACACGGGTTTGTGCCCCGGTCCGGGAAGATCCCACATGCCGCGGAGCGGCTGGGCCCGTGAGCCATGGCCGCTGAGCCTGGGCGTCCGGAGCCTGTGCTCCGCAACGGGAGAGGCCACAACAGTGAGAGGCCTGCGTACCGCCAAAAAAAAAAAGACCTCATTTCTGGTTAGCTCTGGGAAGGAATGGGAGGACTAAGAGTAAAACTCACGGACAAGGGACTTCCCTGGTGGTCCAGTGGGTAAGACTCTGTGCTCCCAATGCAGGGGGCCCGGGTTCGATCCCTGGTCGGGGAAGTAGATCCCACATGCATGCCACAACTAAGAGTCCGCGATACTGCAACTAAGACTCAGCGCAGCCAAAATAAATAAATGAATGAATATTAAAAAAAAACAAAACAACTCGCAGACAAGTAGGTAACTCTCTCCCTCTGCCTTTTAGAATTGTATGGGAGGTACAGCTGCAGGTAGGGACAATAGGGTGAAGAGAAGGCTCTGACAATCCAAAGAGAATGTATCTGTTTGCCAAAGGGCACGGCCACTGACTACTCACGTTGGAGCTGGATGAACATTAAAAATTATCTGAGGCCGGGGTGGGGCCCACTCCAGGTTGCCTCGAACACGAATACGTAGCTTGTAGATGTCAGCATGCTGCCCGTCATCTGGTGAGATGGGCAGTGAGTCAGGGATGGGCAGGAGCTGCAGGAGAAAAGCACAGGGTGATCCACCACGGACAATCTGGGGGAATACATATGCTTGACCCTTCTGGCCATGGCAGAAGCATAATTAATGAAAGCCGTTTCAGGAACACCGTAAGCAAGGGCTTCAGGGAGCCTTGGCCCTGGAAATAAATGATAAGGCACCAGGCTACTAGAAGTGAGGGTCTTGGGTTCCAAGAATAAAAAGGAACAGAAACGGCATCCCAGTGTGGTGGCACCCCTTGATAATGCTGTCCCTGAACCCAGCCCAGGACCCTTGGTGTGCCAGGGTGCTTCATGCCTTATTCAACTTCAGAGCAAAGAAGAACCTGAATAGTTCACTTTTCCAGTGTCTCAAGGTGGTCACAACACAGGAGTGCTGCCCCTGGGTCTAGTGAGCAGTCATGTGGAATGAGGACACTGGAGGAGCCGTTATCTCCTATCCTGACGATGGCTAGGGAAAACCTAGGCAAGCGTGCATGCATTCCTTCATTTATCCAACATACATTTGTAATGAATGGCTTCTAAATGTACGGAAGGAAACTTGGAGGCTCATTCTAAACTGGAGACATGTAATAAAGGAGAACAATATCAGAAAGGCTCATAGACTCCTGGGGCTCGACGCTGGGTGGAGAAAAAGACTTGAAGAATATACCTTCTGAGGGGCATCGTGCTCTGGAACAAGCCACTCTAGCTCTGAGGCGGCTGGGAGCTGCATCCCCTCAAATTGCTTCAGGAGCCCCATGGCCACTGCCTCAGCAGACGTGGAGTGTAGGAAGCAGTGAGAGCTGAAACAGAGTCAAGGAAGACTGAGCATAGAGAAAAGACAGGAGGATGGGAGCCCTAACTTCAGGACCCGATACCACACACAGTGATTTATGGACTGAGAGAACACTCACAGCACCCCTGGTCCACTCAGCTTCCTTTCTCATCATCCTCAGACATGTGAGTACAGAGCAAAATACACAGGTCCACACATAGTTTTAAGACTTAGGCTCAAATCCCACTTACTAACATTCATGGCACTGCTGGTTAAGAATTCTGTCAAATTCTTTCTCTAAACTTCACTTTCTTTTTTTTTTTTAAGTAATTAATTAATTTATTCATTCATTTATTTATTTATTTGTTGGCTGCGTCGGATCTTCATTGCTGCGTGCGGGCTTTCTCTAGTTGCACCGAGTGGGGATTACTCTTCATCGCGGTGCGCGGGCTTCTCATTGCGGTGGCTTCTCTTGTTGCGGAGCACGGGCTCTAGGCGCGCGGGCTTCAGTAGTTGTGGCTCGCGGACTCTAGAGCACAGGCTCAGTAGTTGTGGTGCACGGGCTTAGTTGCTCCGCGGCATGTGGGATCTTCCCGGACCAGGGCTTGAACCCGTGTCCCCTGCATTGGCAGGCGGATTCTTAGCCACTGCGTCACCAGGGAAGCCCTAAACTTCACTTTCTTTAATTGCAAAATGGGAATGACAACACCTGTTTACAAAATAGAGTGAGTCAAACTGCTTTGTGGACTATGAAGACTATTGTCACTCCCACGTGAACTACTATTTCCTCTAGTTGAGTCTACTATGTGGAACCTGTTCAATTTGATTTCATAATCAGAAATCACGATCACTGTTTTCTCTTTTGAGACCTGATCTTCTGGGAGCCTCTGGTATAATCAGAGTTAGCAGAGAAGGAATAATCCACTCTGCGAGCCTTGCCTCCACCAGAGCCCAGCCTGTTTGATCCCATGATCTTCTGCTCTCTTCCCTGGACTCACCACCATCAGGCAGGCCTGTCACATTAACCTTGCCTCTTTGTGAATTCAGATGGCTTCATCCCATGGCCTTCCCATCCATATGTAAAGACCTGGGTTTGTTTCTCCACATATCCCAAAGTTTTATTTAAAAATAAAAAAGTACTTACAAGGACTGGGAGGAAACACATGATTTGTTGTTTGAGAGTGTGCTCCTTCTGATGTCAGCATCTAAATGCAAACAAGAGTTAAGGGGAGCAGGAAATGGAAAGGGAGGAGGTAAGGGATAATAATGGAAAGCAGTCCAAGCTATTGCCAGCTAAGCACTCAGGGCAGCAGCTAGGTGCTACATTCTATGCAGGATACGGAGCAGAGTCCAGGTGAAGCTTTACATACAATTTATATTTTGGCTCTGTTCAAGTCACAACAGACTGAATTGGTGACATTATGCATAGCATTGAGAAGGTCAAAGTGGCTACAAATCCAGGTGGAAACACAAATTCACATTTAGTGCAAAGCAGTGAAGGAGAAAACGAAGCATCCTAAGGCAAACGGGGACACACTCTCTACCAAGCAGCAACAAATTACTCCAATTTCTCTCATTCTCTAAATCTCAAGTGCTCTTAAATGATAAACTCTCAGAGTCAAGAACTCTATCTAGCTCTTTTTTTTATACCAGAATCAGTACCTAACACAGAATTTAGGTCACAGAGGTTACTCATTAAATGTATGTGGAATTGAAACTTTGCTTCTAACATCTGACCACTATTGCTATTACCCACTGAATGTGAGAAGCCGTCCATGTCCTTAACAAAGTTTCACGGAAAGACTCCCTTCCTGTCCAGTGGCACAGGGGAAAAAAAGAACTTCTCTATGGTTTGGCAACTCCCTGGAGATGCCTGGTAAACAACAAATTTTTTTTTTTTTTTTTTTTTTTTTTTGCAGTACGTGGGCCTCTCACTGTTGTGGCCTCTCCTGTTGCGGAGCACAGGCTCCGGACGCGCAGGCTCAGCGGCCATGGCTCACAGGCCCAGCCGCTCTGCGGCATGTGGGATCTTCCCGGACCGGGGCATGAACCCGTGTCCCCTGCATCGGCAGGTGGACTCTCAACCACTGCGCCACCAGGGAAGCCCTAAACAACAAATTTTCATGGAGCTATTCAACATCATCTTTACTAAAGAACTCTCAAACATAATTTTAGGAAACTATGGCAGACTTTCCAAAGTCTATTTCCAAGAAAGAATTTTGAAAAGGATTTCTAATAATGATACGCCTAAACCTCTAGAGACCTCATCTACCCAAATACTTTTAATGGGGAGAATGTGAAACATAACAGTCATGTTCAAGAAAAGCAGGTACTGCCTATTCAAGTCATGAAAACAAGACTGTTCTGATAAGTCTCATCCCTCACTTCCTTTGATGCCTAGTGAAAAGACCTTTTCCGAAGTAAACCTACACAATGATCAATCTACTGCATTTAAGCCCCTCAGTAGAACGCTAAGCTTACATGACATCATTCTGCAGTTGGCCACGAGCAGCTCAATTACATGACATCATTCTGCAGTTGGCCATGAGCAGCTCAACTGTTCTTCATGTTTCCTCTGTACACATACACGTTTGTATGTACCACTAGATTATAGTATCTCGGTGTGAGGGAATGAGATCGTGTCTAATTCTTCTGTTTGGCCCTGAAATACTTAACACAGTGCTCTGTATTACAGCATATTCTCAAATAATATTCCTGAAAAATCAATGTCTTCAAAGCTATAAACACAAATAAGAGAAAAGAATTGAAATCTCTCAGTTTTCATATGCTCTCTAAGCATAGAAAAACTTAAGATAGCAACAAAATCTTTGACTAGCAAATAACAAATCCTATTTTATTTAACAAAGAAGTTCATGTATGTCATATACTCTGCCTGAATTTGCGCCACTCAAATCCAGTTCCCAATACACTGGCTAGTTCTGTATTCCATTCTAAATAGTGCTAGAAGAGAAAAAAAATAACTCTAGGCAATAGTAGACCTTCATAGACCATTGGGTTTGCAACATTGATTTGAGTAACACTAAAGTGCCTTGGATCATATGTAAGTCTTGCCTTGTCCTTAAAATCCTCAAAGAGCTTTGTACGTAATAGGTTTCCAAAAAATATTTCCTAAATAAAAAATTGTCTAAAAGCAAAAAGCAAATTTCAGCCTGTTTACGAGTGATAGAAAAGGAAAAACCAGACAAAAATCTTAGACAGATATCTTGAATAAAGAGCTAACCAACATGGTTACTTGAGGGCCAGGCTACTAAAGAAAACATGGCACGCCAGAGAGGAGAGGCGGTTGACAATTCATGGTTGCTGAAAACCGCCGTCTTCATAAAAACTATTCAGCAGTTCTTCAGCCTCACAGAGAGGAAGTCCTCTTTTCTTTGAGAGAAAAAAATAACACTCTCTCCTCTTTGGAAAATAAAGTCAAGTCACACTTTATCATGTTTCTTCTTTTTTACCAGAGGTGCAGTGATGTCCTAGCTAATCATGAATATTTCCAAGAGTGCAGAAGACTACACGGGTTTGGAAGCGAGGATCTTACCCCAAAAGTGGAGAGGGAGAGGCAGCGCCTGATATCAAAAGGGACATGCCACCTGTCACTGGTCAGTACCACGAAGGCCTCGTGGGTACTAGGCCTCTCTGTTGTATCCTGCTTACTCTCTAGTCAGTACGAGCAGATGACTAGGTTAATGTGGTTGGAACACTAGTTGAGGATCTGGGTAAAAGTAGACCAGGGTCTAGGATAATTAAGGAGTAAAGAGACAGAAGAAAGCTACTCAACTGAATGGATTAAACATATCCCAAATGAAAGCACTTGAGAAAGAAGTCTGAGAAGCACTCCTTCCAAATGGAAGTTAACATAATTATGAAACTTTTTATCAATTCTTTAACAAGAACTGATTTCAAATGCTTCTGATGCTTTAGATAGGATAAGGCTATTACTACTGACTGAAAAAAGTTCAAAACTATAAAGACAAACAACAACAACAACAAAAATAATGACAGGTTATAAGAAGAATTTTTCCATGTCCAGATACCGGTATTGAGATGATCAAGGAAGAACTGGTTAAAACCTTGGTACCCTAGCAAAATCTGCACATTTTTAAACAAAATAAGTGAGGCACAAGAACAGAGTCAACTTCAGAATTTACTGGCCAATCTGATGTTGGTTTGCATCCTGTTTTCCTTTTAGCACATAAGGGGATACCCAACACATGCAGAAATCCAACTCTAATGAATGTTCTGTAACTGCTGACTCAAGAGGAAACACTTTAAAGTGGAGAACCACAATTACTCTTGCCTTAGAAGGAGAAAACAATTTATTAAAAGAGGGAAGGTGGGGAGGAGCAACAGCTTACCTTGAATTGGATATAATTTTAAAACTTGCCCAAAATATAGTTCATGAACTTTCCTCTTTATATATTGTGCCAGTTTTCAATTTATTGCCTTTCAGCTCCCAACCTGCCCTTCTTTTTGTCTGCTCTGTGATAACGGAGCTGGACTTGAAAACACTGATCTTTTGCCAGCTGGCACAATGTTCAGCTTCGGCAGTAGAGGGCGCTGGGGGGACACTGGAGGAGGAAGGGGTTTCTCTGGCTGCTGGTGTGCTCCCGTAAGAGGACTCCTGTGGTGCAAGTGACTTTCCCCAGGGTAAGCATGGCTTCAGGAGGCTTTGCAGCAGGGCGCCACTGATGGTACTTTTCATAAGCGGCTTCCCTTGGACCTCTGGGAAAGCTTCCGAGCCGGTGCTGCAGGCCTGGCCCCTCCCATGAGCCACTTCCTCCAGCATCCCTTGAGTTCTGAGGCACAGCACCCCCTGGGGGCAGCCTCCTCCCATACCCCAGAGAATGGTTTCCTGAAGAGGGCTGTTGGCATGGCACCCCTCATGGACAACATGCCAGGACATTCTCTCAGGGCAATTCTACACCTTCAGAAAACTCCATCATCCAGTGAACAAGGAGGTCTGGATCGCAGCCTCGGGGTATGGCCCTCTTCTACCTTTGTTCCTCCCCTGGGGGCTCTATCTCAGCCCTAGGGATGGTGACTGCTGCCTATATCTGCTACTCCTGTATTCCTCAGAGTTCTCTTTACTCCTTATGAGCCAGTCTCCCATTACTTCAATCCCCCATCAGAGTTAATAATTCTTTATATTAAATTTTCCCTATTCAAGTTATCATGTGGTTTCTGTCTCCTGACTGGACCCTGGCTAGGTACATATATGCAGAGATTGAAATTCTAAAAGAAGGAGGATAGAGAAGAATTGATGAAGTTGTAGTGGAAAAGGATGAAGGGAGGAAAAAAACAACAACAAAATCCTAAAACCAAAGACGCTGAAAAGACTGTCTGGAACTGGGAGCCCGTGAATGATATCGTATCAATTTGGCAGACAGCATCAGAAGGTACAGATGAATTGAAAGAAGCCAGACACAAAAGATCACATACTGTGTGACTGCATTTACATGAAATGTCCAGAAAAGACAAATCTATAGAGATCTAAAGATTAGTGGTGGACTGGGACTTGGGGTGGGAATGTAAATTAACTATAAATGGGCGTGAGGGATCTTAAAGGGGTGACGAAGATGTTCTGAAACTAGATTACGGTGATGGTTGACAACTTGGTAAATTGACTCAAATTTAGTGAGTTGTACACTTAAAGTGGGTAGAGTTTGAAGTGTAATTATTCCTCAGTAAAATGTTTTTTTAAAAAGGGAATAGATGTTAACGAATACAAAGCTTTCTATGAATAAGCTACGATCACAAGTTTACATCCACTTTACTGTGAGGAGGAAGTAACTTTCAAAACTATTTCCTTCATAAACACTTCTGCTCCATAAGGTCTACTTGCTGAATTAGGATCTAAGAAAAATGACTACATTAAGCAAAGTATTACAATTATGCAGAGTATTTATCACAGATGATGTCTATACTACGATGCTTAAGTAATTTTTCCATGGGTATTATGGATTCTGATAACTTTCCTCTGATAGAATCCCAAGAGATTCTTCAATAGCATATATTACTTAAGGTCATCAAAAAGAAAAGCACCTGTAAGCCTCTGGACATGATCAAGAAGACTGCTAATGAGAAATATACCGACACTTGTTAGAAAGAATTTGGTCCCCAGTAATAAACTTGATTAAAGAAACAAATGAAAAAGAACAGAAAGCAATAAAGAAACCTACAGTAGAGAAAG